GGTTCAGATGATCTGCAGTTATTTCTTTCATTAACAGCTTCATTGAGAGATAATTCACACGTCATGCGGTTCACTCATTTAGCAGGGGCCCACGCTTCCAGGGCTGGTGGGTGGACACTGAGGAGCGGAAAGGCGGGGCTTGCGAAGGCACTGCTCAGCTCTAAGCCAGTGCCCGACGTTCCGTTGCTTCACGTCGTCTTCAGCATTAGTATGGTCAGTCTTTCTGTTGTTGTTACTCCTCATTCAAGAGTATTTTTCCACCCTGGCTGGTTTGGCTCAGCAGTTAGTGTTGGCCTGTAGACCAAAGGGTCATGGGTTCGATTCCTAGTCAAGGGCACGTACCTAGGTTGCAGGTTTGATCCCCAGGCCCTGGTTGGGGTCATGTGGGAGGTAACCGTTTGATGTGTCTCTCTCACATCTATGTTTCTCTCTCTCCCTGCCTCCCTCCCTCTCTATCTAAAATCAGTGAAAAAAATATATGTATATCCTTAGGTGAGGACTAACAACAATAACGAAATTCTTTCCATTGACTTTTTAGACAGAGTAGAAGGGAGAGAGAGAGAGAGAAACATGGATGTGAGAGAGACACACATCAATTGGTTGCTTCCTGCACGACCCCAACCAGGCCAGGGCTGGTCAGTCTTCTTTTTTTTTATTATTATTATTATTACTGATTTTAGAGAGACAGGAAGGGAGAGAGAGAGAGATAGAAACACTGATGAGAGAGTACATGGATTGGCTGCCTCCTGCAGGCCCCCACTGGGGATCGAGCCCACAACCTGGGCATGTGCCCTGACCAGGAATGGAACTGGCGACCTCTTGATGCAGGTGGTCGATGCTCAGCCATTGAGCCACACCAACTGGGCTGGTCAGTCTTTTTAAATTTTAGCTACTCTGTTTGTAGTTTGTCCCTATGTAGTTTTAATTTCAGTTTCTCTAATAACTGATGGGTTTTGAGCATCTGTTAATGGATCATTTGCCTTTCATATGTCTTTGTAGGTGAAGTGTCTGTTCAAGTCTTTTGCCCACATTTTATTTGGGTTATTTGTGTTCTTATTGAGTTTAGAGAGTTCTTTATATACAACTAACTCCTTTATTAGATATGTTGTTTGCAAATATTTTTTTCTGATCTCTGGCTTGTCTTTTCATTCTCTGAACAGTGTCTTTCAAAGGGCGGAAACTCTTAATTTTGAAAAAGTTCACTTTATCAATTTTCTTTAATGGACTGTAATTTTTAGTGTTCTAAGTAACGTTTACCTAATTAAATCACAAAGATTTTCTTCTATGCTTTCTCCTAGAATTTTTATAGTTCTACATTTTACATTTGGGTCTATGATCCATTTTGAGTTAATATTTCTATGTGGTACAAGATATGTATCCAAGTTCATTTTCTGGTGAATTGTTCCAACACCATTTGTTGAAAAGACTTCCTTTTTCCACTCAATTGCCTTTGATGTTTGGTGAAAACCAATTATGTGTCTCGGTGGGTCCATCCCTTCACTCTCCACTCTGTTCTAACGGCCTCGTCTCCATAGTCACAGCAGTACCACGATGTTTCATTACTGTTGGTTCATAATGAGGAGTGAATTCAGACAGTGTAAGTCCTCCAACTTATTCCCTCCCGGTATTATCCATCCAGTCTAGGTTCTTGGCATTTCCTTAGACTTTTACCATCAGTTTGTCAATTTCTACAAAAAGAAAGTGCTGAGATCTTGATTAATATTCCATTGAATCTAAATCAATATGGGGATAATTGACATTTTAACAATATTGAGTCTTCTGACCCATTAAAAGTGTGTGTGTGTGTGTCCTTTTATCTTGGGTCTTTCATTTTTCTCAGCAGCATATTATAGTTTTTCAATGTACATCTTTTATCAAATACCCAAGTATTTCTTTTTTGATGCGATTATCACTGGTAGTAATTTTAATTTCTGATTGTTGTTTGCTAGTACATAGAAATACAATTGACTTTGTATATTAATCTTGTATTCTGCCACCTAGTTCAACTTATTCATTCTAGTAGTTATTTTTTTGTATGTGTTTTTTTGTAGATGTTATTGGATTTTCTAAACAGGTGATGAAATAATTTATGAATAAAAACAGTTTACTTCTTCCCTTCCAATCTAGAGACCCTTTCTTTTTCTCACGTGTTCACAATGGCTAGACCCTGTGGTGCCGTGTGGTGTGGAAGGGGTGAGAGACACCCCTGCCTGCGGGACCCTGTGGTGCCGTGTGGTGTGGAAGGGGTGAGAGACACCCCTGCCTGCGGGACCCTGTGGTGCCGTGTGGTGTGGAAGGGGTGAGAGACACCCCTGCCTGCGGGACCCTGTGGTGCCGTGTGGTGTGGAAGGGGTGAGAGACACCCCTGCCTGCGGGACCCTGTGGTGCCGTGTGGTGTGGAAGGGGTGAGAGACACCCCTGCCTGCGGGACCCTGTGGTGCCGTGTGGTGTGGAAGGGGTGAGAGACACCCCTGCCTGAGGGAACAAGGCTGTCAGGAGGACAGCGTTCCATCTCGCTGTGAGTGATGTTCACCGTGGGTCTGTGGATGTCCTCTGTCATGTTGACGAAGTTCCTCCTAGTCCTACTTTGCTGAGAGTTTGGATCAGAATGGGTATTTGATTTTGTCAAGTATTTTTTCTACCTTTATTGAGATGATCATATGGTTTTCCTTTTTAGTTTATTAATCTAGTGAATTACACTCATTTTAAAATATGAAAGCAGCCCTGGCCAGTTTGGTTCAGCGGTTAGAGCATCAGCCTGAGGACTGAAGGGTCTTGGGTTTGATTCCCAGTCAATGGCACGTGCCTGGGTTGCAGGTTCGATCCCAGCCCCCATCAGGGTCATGCAGGAGGCAACCAATCAATGTTTCTCTCTCACATTGATGTTTCTCTCTCTCCCCCTCCCTCCCTTCCACTCTGTCTAAAAATCAATGGAAAAAATATCTTCGGGTGAGGATTAATGAAAAAAAAAATATATGAAAGCTATTTTGTGTCCCTGCAATAAACCCAAGTTGGCCATGATTTTATCTTTTTCATGTTCCTGAAGTCTTCACTCTGCAGTCGCTTAGCCCACTGAAACCTGTCCACTTCAGGACCACAGCCTCTCTGCGTGATCAGAGACATGGTTCCAGACTGCATACCTTTTAGTGGAAAGCAAATTCTTACTGTACTGTTGGGTTTGATTTACCAGAATTTTGTTTTGCATCCGTGTTCTGCAGTTGTCTTATAATGTCTGATTTTGATGTGTGATGGGACTTCTTCAAATGAGTTAGGAAGTATGTCTTCCTGTCTATTTTCTGAAGAGGCTGTGTAAATTAGTGTTATTTCTTCTCTAAAAATTTGGTAGAATTCATCAGTAAAGCCATTTGGGCCTGGAGTTTTTTGGGTTTTATAAGAGGTTTAAAAGTACAATTTCAATTTACATATTTCTTGAGTGAGCTTTGGTAGTTTGTGACTTTCAAGAAATGTATTTCATATAACTTGTTAACTGTATTGACACTGTTTGTTTGTTTTTATTTATTTTATCCTCACCCGAGGACATTTTTGCATTTATCTTCAGATAGAGCAGGAGGAATAGAGGGAGGAAGAGAGAGAGAGAAACATCGATGTGAGAGAGACACATCAAGTGGTTGCCACCCATATGACCCCAACTGGGGCCTGGGACAAACTGCAACCAAGGTACGTGCCCTCAGTGGGAACCGAACCCGGACTCTCTGGTCCGCGGGCTGACACCCAGTTGCTGAGCCAAACCGGCCAGGGCCACTCTTACAGCATTCCTTGTACCCTTGAGCGCCAGTGACTTACAGTGACATTCCCGCTCTCATTTCTGCTCCTCTTACTGTGTCTCTTCTCTCGTTGTGGTGTTTAATGGCCGTTCTGATCGAAGGTTTGTCCATTTTAAAACTGTTTCTCGTAAAGAATCAGCTTTTGTTCTATTGATTTTCTATAGATATTGTTTTTCTGTTTTCTACTGCATTGCTTTCGTCTGTCTTACTTCCTTTCTTCTGCTTATTTTATATTTTACTTGCCCCTCTGTTTCCAGCTTTATAAGGAAGAAACTGAGGTCATTGATTTGAGACCTTTTTTTTTTTTTATCCTCACCCGAGGACATTTTTCCATTTTTTGTTCAGACAGAGTGGGAGGGAGAGAGAGAGAAACATCGACGTGAAAGGGACACATCGAGTGGCTGCCACCCGCACAACCCAACCAGGGCCGGGGACAAACTGCAACCGAGGTACGTGCCCTTAGCGGGAACTGAACCCGGGTCTCTCTGGACCGCAGGCCAACACTCTAACCGCTGAGCCAAACCGGCCAGGGCTATTCTTCTTTCTTAATAAAATGTTTGGTGCTATAAATTTTCCTCTAAATACTACGTTAGTGACACAACACCAATAGTAATATGCTATATCTTCATTTTTGTTCCATTCAGAGTACTTTGTAATTTCCCTTTTGATTCATTCTTTTAGTCATAGGTTATTTAATGGTATTTCATTTAATTTTCAAATCTGGGGATTTGCCATATATCTGTTATGATTTTTCCGGTTTCATGAGACATAACAGACATGACATTGTATAAGTGTAAGTTGTACGAGGTCGTGAGCTCCACAGCTGTATACAGTGAAATGTTTGCTACATTAAGGTTAGTTACACTCAGCTCACATAATTACCATTGTCTGATGGCTGTTGTCAGGGCACGACCACCCACGCTCTGCTTCTCAGGGCGGCGTCAAGACACAGCGCGGTCTCGGCCGCAGTCACCGTGGTGTGCGGGTGTGTCCGCCCCATAAACGCCTGCTCTGTGTCTTACAGCGGCCAGCAGGCCTTCCTACTGGAGAACGTCCCCTGCACTAGCGCCAGCTGTGAGGGGGCGCGTCGGATGTTCCAGATCTGCTGGGAGCTGGTGGGCCTGAGTCCGAGCAGAGACGCAGCGCGGTCTGGGCCGCAGTCACCGTGCTGCGCGGGTGTGTCCGCCCCATAAACGCCTGCTCTGTGTCTTACAGCGGCCAGCAGGCCTTCCTACTGGAGAACGTCCCCTGCAGTAACGCCAGCTGCGAGGGGGCGCATCGGATGTTCAAGGTCTACTGGGAGCTGGTGGGCCTGAGTCCGATCAGAGACGCCGTGGTCGCCACCTTCTTCGACATTTACGAAGACGTGAGTTCCGAGCGCTGCTGTGTGCCGGGGTCTCGGGGCCCCACCGCGTCCCTCTCCCACCCCGCCCCGTTGGCCAGAGGACGTAGATGAGGTCCCGAGGAGTTCATGGAGAGGGCCCTCCTGGTGTCGATGCAGAGGGACAGACTCACTGACGCTGGCTGCTCAGGACAGTGGAGTGTGAATACGCCTTTACCTCATTGTTTGCATCTTTAAGCCCCTAGAGAGTCTGCTCTGAGACCAGCCGACGAGCACAGCCCGCGGGTGACGCGGAGCCCACCCAGGAGCGTGGAGAGTGAGTTCAGCCTCTCCTCTCGCTCGTGGGCTCGAGGGCGCCTCTCTGCCCAGGCTCTTGCGCTGGTCTCCAGTTGCAGGTCCACGCGGGAGGCACTCGGGGCCCGTTCCCTCCTTTCTCCTATGGGAAGCCCGTTGACCACTCGGAAGGAGAATGTGCTCTGAAAGGCGTGTTCAAGCCCAGAGTGAACGCGGCACGTATGCCCTCGCGGTACCTTGTTCTAGGAAGTGCCCGCCAGGACAGTTGTCTCTCCCGCCCCTTTGGCTTTTGTTTTTCTATAAGGGGCTGGTTCTCAATTATGGAATTATCGAGGTCCTTGTTTTCCTATCTCTGCTGTCAAATTGCATTTTTATTAGCAGTTTTCAAGCATAAAAGTAACTGGCAAAAATATCCCAAGAGAATTGACTACAAATCAATTTTTTATTTCTGTACATAAAGAAAACACCATTAATGAAATTTAAAATTGTTTTTAAATCTAGGAAATAAATTTGCTATGAAAGAATCAAATAATTAATATTCTTACTGTACGAAGTGTTTGTATAAACAGATGTAAATCCCCAAAGCTCCCTCTCAAGAAACAGAACACAGTCAATTTGTAGGAAAAACACGGGTGGCTGATACCTGAAAATTATGGTGAATGGTCAGCCTCACCTCAGTCGGCACCTGGAAGCTTAACTGAGCACACTTTGCTTTCCTCCAGGGAATCAGCAACGCGCCCCCTTTCCTGGGGGCAGAGGTGACAGGAGGCAGCAGTGGGCAGGGCGGACGAGGGGGCTGCGGTGGGCAGGGCGGGCGGGGCGGACGAGGGGGCAGCGGTGGGCACGGCGGGCGGGGCGGACGAGGGGGCAGCGGTGGGCACGGCGGGCGGGGCGGACGAGGGGGCAGCGGTGGGCACGGCGGGCGGGGCGGACGAGGGGGCAGCGGCGGGCAGGGCGGGTGAAGGCGCTCCAGTCCTGGAGACGATGCGGGTCCACATCGTAGGCCTTCAGAAATCCATGCAAATGTACCACACTGCTAACTGTTACCTGCAGAGATTAACATTACCAATGTTTTGTATTTTACTATTCAAGGTTATATATCATTCAAATGGTATTTTTCTTTTGCACACCAAGTTGAATAAATAAGGTTTACATTTACAGGACGAACATTCTGAACACACGTGAACCTGTGTTATCCTGGCCCAGCATTTTCAGCCAGTGAGGTTTGTTCTTACCGCTTTGTTTGTGTTTTTCCAGGGGATCCTGGACATCGTGGTACTAAGTAAAGGGCCCGCCAAGAACAACTTTGCCATCCACGCATTAAAAAACAACTTCGAAGCAGATGCCTATTTTGTCAAAGTCATTGGTGAGTGTTTGATTTGTATGTTTTATCATTGAGTATTAACATTTAATTTCGTATTCTCTTCGTCGGCGCCCATCCGCGGGCTCTGTCCACATCAGGAGCCGCTGCCGCCCGCGCCCGACTGCTCCCCAGCTGCCAGCAGGGACTGTTCCCGGAGCCTGTCGGGAAGGCCCGCCGCGTGTCCCCTGCAGCCTCCTTTCCGGACGCAGCCCTCGCACCTGCCCCCTTGCCAGCCCAGGCTGTGCGCGCCCCGCGGAAACACCGCGCGTGGGGTGGGGCCCGCGCTGTGCGCTCCTCGCGCCCGCCTGCAACCACGCGGCGTGACTCCACCTTGACCATCTGGTCGTCTTGATGACCACCAGGTGTTCCTACCTCAGGGTCACGGGTTCCCCCTTTAACTGATTGTTTGAGGGCGATGGACGCTGACATACTTGAATGACTGCTCCCTGCCAGGCCTCCGCCCCCAGCCGCTGTCCATTCACCGCGCCTGCCCCGCGGCCTCCTGCCCGGGGCCGGCCGAGGATGCTGTTCCCGCGCCCCTGCGTTGGTTCGCTGGCATTCTGCCGCGGGAGACCTTGCTCGTCTGTCCTGTCTGCGCGTGTTCACTTTCCAGCACAGATCTGAGTTGGTGTTTTACCTAAAACAAAGTCGTTTCTTTTCATGCTCACGTTCCCTGTAGGGCAGCAGGGAGGGCGCCGTCCGGCTGTCTCCTTTGTCTCGGACATCGCCGTGGCCTGGCGGGGTGCCCTGCGCTAGAACCTCACCTTTCTCCAAGGAGCCTGGTTCCTTTACTAGAGGATGGTCTTTAGAAACCAAGTTCTGGTCCTCAGTATGCTGGTTGCTACCGGGTTGTCATTTCTTCTAGGTTCTCTCAATGGACAGAGCTAGAAAATACAAGTGTGGCTTCACACAGCACACAGATATGCACACATATAACTATATATAATAAAATCATGAGTTCATATCATGACTTCCATTTCTTTTTTTTTTTTAATCCTCACCTGAGGACATTTTTCCATTTTTTGTTCAGATAGAGTGGGAGGTAAAGAGAGAGAGAGAGAGAGAGAGAGAGAAACATCGACGTGAAAGGGACACATCCAGTGGCTGCCTCCCGCACAACCCAACCAGGGCTGGGGACAAACTGCAACCGAGGTACGTGCCCTTAGCGGGAACCAAACCCAGGTCTCTCTGGACTGCAGACCGACGCTCTAACCGCTGAGCCAAACTGGCCAGGGCATGACTTCCATTTATAATCCAACACACTGCAAAGGTTCTTTCTACTCTTTCTGTCTGCAGGTATCTTCTCTAGCAGTGGGAAACTCAGCCCCGTTTTCTTCAGTATATGTATTTGTTTACTGTTACCTGTTCCCACCGATGCCTGCTGTCTCCTCCACCTGACACCCAGCTTCATCACAGAAATCCTGTACACATTCTGTTAGTGTCTGCCTACGTACTGTGTTTTCTTTTATTTATTTATTTATTTATTTATTTATTTATTTATTTTGTGGTACGTGCCCTCAGTGGGAACCGAACCCGAGACTCTCTAGTCCACAGGCCGACGCTCGCCGATGCTCAACCACTGAGCCAAACTGGCCAGGGCTCTTTTATTTTTTTTTATTTTTTTTTATTTTTTTTTTATCCTCACCCGAGGATTTTTTCCATTTTTTGTACAGATAGAGTGGGAGGGAGAGAGAGGAAGGAAGAGAGAGAGAGAGAAACATCGACGTGAAGGGACACATCGAGTGGCTGCCACCCACACGACCAACCAGAGCCGGGGACAAACTGCAACCGAAGTACGTGCCCTTAGCGGGAACCGAACCCGGGTCTCTCCGGACCGCAGGCCGACGCTCTAACCGCTGAGCCAAACTGGCCAGGGCCTCTTTTATTTTTTTTTAAATATATTTTTTATTGAGTTTTTTTTAGAGAGAGAGAGAGAGAAACATCTATGTGAGAGAGATACATCGATCAGCTGCCTCCTGCACGCCCCCTACTGGAGATGGAGCTCACGACCTGGGCATGTGCCCTGACCGGGGATCGAACCAGAACCTCTAAGTCCATGGGACAATGCTCAACCACTGAGCCACACCGGCCAGGCTATTTTCTTTGCAGGGATTATAAATGTTTTTGTTATTAGGTTTGGTTTCCACATTTTTTTTTTCAGATTCCCTGGGATTTTCTCCACAAACAGTCATGTCATCTGCAAAGGGGAACAGTTTTATTTCTTTCCAGTCTATGCCTTTTTTTTTTCTCTTTCATGTTTTTGTTCTTGCTAGAATTTCCACTCCTGTGCTGAGGTTGGTGAGAGCGGACGTCGGTGCCTTGTTTCTGGTCCTAGGGGAGGCAGTCTGTCTTCCACCGTGAGCTACGCTCCGAGCGTGGGTTTTGTAGACGCTCTGTGTTGTGCTCAGGAGGTTGCCAGTTTGCTGAGATTTTTCATGAATTGGTGTTAGAAGGTAACTTTTTCTGTTATTGTTATTGTTATTATTATAGTTGACATCATGGCAGCTACATCAGTCATTTCTTAACGAAATGACACGTGTTTCATATAAATATTACAGCTTTGAAACGGTCATAATTAGCTCAACACAGGCAAGCAACAGAAATGTGAATGAGTATTGGGAGATTCGAGAAATGGAAGTGGTGGAACGTGTGATTTTGCTTTCTGACAGTTTTCTAGAGAAGTCCCTCTTCTCTGCATGAACCAGGGCGGCCCCATCTCGGTGCTCCCGCGGCCGCAGAAAACGGACATTGTGAGCCCAGCCACGGCCGTGCGCGAGGTTTTTGTTTTAGGAAACAAGATAACTTTGCCTTAAAGCTATTAACATGAATATTAATAACGTGATCTACAGAAAGGTCATGGGAAATGAGATGCCGATTTGAAGCAATCACGGGGGGAAGTAACCTGGCTGTTTTGAGGCGCCCTCCCCCCTTTCCTCTGATTACTGGCAGTCGGCCTGCAGTCTCAGTGTCTGGTCTGCAGTGACCCTTCAGAGCCGTCTTCCACGTCCGGGTCGCTTCTGATCTAAAACTATTGTGAGTGATGCTCAAACCAGCCTGTGCTAAATGCCATGTTTTCAGGTAAGGGAGTTTGGAGACTTCAGGTAAAACTACATGCTGCCTGTTCCCACAACACCAGAGACGCAGAGAACCCTCCCAGGCCCCTGGGTGAAGACGGGGGACCTGAGGATTGCAAAACTGGGGGGCTCCTTGGCTTCTCTAAGTCACACTTCTCAGCTGTGATGTTTTTGCTGACTCTTGTCAACTGCAGTTGGAGGTCTGCACCCCAGTTCTGGTGTACCGGTACTCACCTCGGACCTGTAGCAAACATGCATGAACTCGGGTTATCCTGGAACTTTAAAACTGGAGCAGTATTTTCCGTTTGCTTCCCACACGAGTGTGCCTCCCGTGCCTCACGTTTTACGGACCCTTTCCCGGGGATTCTCAGGCAGGTTAGCCGTGACTGCTCCCCCCGGCAGGCGGTCAGCTGCCCGCCGCCGTGTTACTTCCGAGGCGCGTTTCCCTCCACCTGATCTGCCTCTCGTGGTGGGCTCTCCCTCGCATTATTTTCGGAAAGGTAGAGGTTAGTGCACTTTCTGAGGACTGCTATGTGCTGAAATACCTTTCTCTTCCCCCATGTCAACACCAATTGTGCCAGCCTAGGGCTCTGTAAACATCGCTCCATTTTATTCTCATCTTTGAAATCCCCCTTCGCCTGCACATTCTCCTGCTAGATGGGGCCCCTTCGTGCAGTGGCTGCACACGCTGAGCCCAGGACAGAGCCCGAAGTAACTCCAGTCTGTGTAACGCAGCCCTACGCTCTCTCACAGGGACCCCCTGGGCTCCGCGCACAGGGCGTCGTGCAGCCTCTGTCCGTTAGTGCCTGGCTCCCTTCACGCGGCATCTCGTCCTCCGGGTCCATCTGCGGTGTAGCCTGTGGCAGGATTGCTTCGCAAGCTGCGTGATACCGCGTGGCGTGTGCAGACCTCGTTCTGTGTGACCCTCTGTTGAGGGACCTTTGTCTGGGTTGCTTCCCCTCTCGGAGACTGTGAACAGCACGCATTTCATTGTGGTTTGGGCTTGAATTGCCCTGATTGCTCATGCTGTTGCGCATCTTTTCATGAATTTGTGCCTCTCTCTATCTTCTTCGGAGAAATTCCTATTCAGATGGTTTGCCCATTTTTAAATTTATTGTCCTTTCGTTATTGAAGTGTAAGAGTTCTTTATATTATTTGGGTCTTACCAAAGGTAATTTTTATGTTATAAGTTAAAGTCTAACTTCATTTTTCTCCATGTAACCAATTATCCAGTACCATCTATTGAGTAACCCATCATTTTCCTTCTTTAACAAGTGTGTATTGAGCAAATACGTTGGCGTAGGCCCTGAGAAGATGCTAAAATAATGCAGAGCTTGCCTGCTGGTTAGAAACACAGGTTTGAGCCCAGCTGGTGTGCTCAGTGGTTGAGCGTTGGCCCATGCACCAAGAGGTCGCTGGTTTGAGTCCCGGTCAGGGCACATGCCCAGGTTGCAGGCTTGAGCATGTAAGAGGCGGCTGATCGACGTTTCTTTCTCGCTTCAATGTCTCTCTCTCTCTCTCTCCCTTCCTCTCTAAAAAACCGACAAAGTAAGTAAATAAAATAAATGCTGCTGTTTAAAAAAACTGTTTTGCAAAATATAAAACATTCACTTCACTGTTTCCTCAAATCGTGTTTAATGTAAACCTTTAATTACATGTGTATTTAGTGTGAATGGACAGCTCTCTTCCTTCATGATGAAACATGTCACGCTCATTTCTTAGCGCCTTTGTGTTGTCACCCCTTCCTGAGTGTATTCTGTTGGAGCAATTGTCATGTATCATCACAGAATAGAACTAAATAGAAGAAGCCACTTTCCCGTGGGTATATTTGAACGGACACATATTCACAACTGTTATTGAAATGATTCGTGCACACTGAGCAGAACTGTCGGCTCTCCAATTGTAACATATGAGACATTTAATAGCACCTCGCGTCTGCTTTCGTTCACGGTGTAACCGCACACGCAGTAGCCAGAGAGAGCTGTTCGGAGCTCGTATTCTTATGTAAAGTCTGCTCAGACAATCCAGCCTTTGCTTTTTTGATTATAGAATAAATGTGTCATTATCAGTGTATATTTATTATAGACTCATCAATTATTTTATAGTTGTGTTACCTGCACCAGTTATCAAACATTTCCACCTCCGTGACCAGGAACTTTACCTGTGTACATGGGGCAAGTCCAGTGTGAGACATAAAGTATTAAACACTCTGCTTGCCCCTCAGTCTACATTGTAGTTGGTTTGCACTTGGCACTGTTGTCAGGTTCTCAGCCATCCCTGAAGCTTAGCTGACCGGTGGGAAATAAGACCAACAGCAGATACAGCTTGATGCAACCGTAACTATCGCACCTATACATTAGCATGTTGGCTGCCTAACAGAGGCTTTTGGAATATTGGTACAAAGTGGTCCAGCCAGTGTGGCTCAGTGGTTGAGCATCACCCCAGGTACCAAGAAGTCACCAGTTCAATTCCCAGCCAGGGCACATGCCCAGGTTGCAGACTTGATCCCCAGTAGGGGGCGTGTAGGAGGCAGCTGATTGATGTTTCTCTCTCTCTCCCCCTCCCCCTCTCTAAAAATCAATAAAACGTTTTTTTTTAAAGGAAAAAATATTTATACAAAGTGAAGAACAGAAATTTAATTTACTCAGATCTAAAGAAATTGAACTGGTTTTACTTGTGATCATGAACCAAAAGAGCATATTAATAGATTTTAGGTAAACAGTAAGAGTTTACTTTAAATATAAATTTACATTGTATCTGTCATAATAAATAGCCTTTTCTTTGTTTTTCCACAGTTCTTAGTGGCCTCTGCTCTAATGACTGTCCTCGTAAGATAACGGTAAGTAAACTCACAAGTATTTCTGAGAACATTCTTTGCATGATAGATACACACAAAATAGTTGCTATTGGTTATTATCAAATGATTACTCTTTAGAAGTGATTTAAAGTATCCTTCAGTGCTCAAGAAGAGTTTTCTGGGAATGAAATACCTTCCCTGACAGACTGGTCACCTTGAGGTCCCCTCCTGCAGAAGGCCTCTCCCATGTCCTTGGAGAAATGGCCGCCCTCCGTCACTTCTGGCTGCTGCCGTTGAGCGCGTGTGCCGCTTGATCAGCGCACCTGCTGATCTCATGCGCCTCGCCACGCCGGACTGGCCCCCTGGGGGCCAAGCGCCAGGCCTCCTTGTATACTTGGCACATAGCACCGTCAAGCGTAGGGATTTGTATGTATTTTTTTGTTCAGTCTTAATATTGACTTGCTGTCTAATGAGATGTTTCAGTGAAACAACGAAATGTGAAGATAATTAGGCTTAGTGTTTGGAGTGGCCTATTCATGTCCACTGCAAGGTTACGTTGTATTTGGAAGTGTGCGTAGGTGTGTGTGTGTGTTGGTTTTCCCTGGTTTTATAAGGAATCACCCCCGTGTGAAGACGAGGAAGCGGAGGCTCAGCAGACTCGGTGGTCCAGGGTCAGAGCTGTTAGCAGCGGGACACGCACACAGAGCTAGGTGCTCTGGCTCCGGCCTCGTACTCTCAGGGTTCCCTTGAGGCGCTGCATTCCCAACATCTCGCACGTGGTCGGGAACCTCCCACGTCTGAGACACGTGGAAACAGACCTGGGCCCGGGGTTTGCATGCAGATTTAGTCCAGACTCGACCTGAGAGCAGGGACTCTGACTAGTGAGGAAAGCAGGTTCGCAGAGGGAGGAGCTAGTCGACGGTGGATGCGGGGGGAACTGGAGCCAGGATGGCCCTTCACTGCTGGCTGCAGTGGAGGCCGAGGGCCAGGCCCCTGTGCTGTGTGCCGGCCAACAGGGCATGCATGCATCCCCAGGGAGGGCACAGCCTGCACAGGCCAGGCCTCTGTGCTGTGTGCCGGCCAGCAGGGCATGCATGCATCCCCAGGGAGGGCACAACCTGCACAGGCCAGGCCCCTGTGCTGTGTGCCAGCCAGCAGGGCATACATGCATCCCCAGGGAGGGCACAACCTACACAGGCCAGGCCCCTGTGCTGCTGTGCCGGCCAGCAGGGCATGCATGCATCCCCAGGGAGGGCACAGCCTGCACAGGCCAGGCCCCTGTGCTGTGTGCCGGCCAGCAGGGCATGCATGCATCCCCAGGGAGGGCACAGCCTGCACAGGCCAGGCCTCTTTGCTGTGTGCCAGCCAGCAGGGCATGCATGCATCCCCAGGGAGGGCACAGCCTGCACAGGCCAGGCCCCTGTGCTGCTGTGCGGGCCAGCAGGGCATGCATGCATCCCCAGGGAGGGCACAGCCTGCACAGGCCAGGCCTCTTTGCTGTGTGCCAGCCAGCAGGGCATGCATGCATCCCCAGGGAGGGCACAGCCTGCACAGGCCAGGCCCCTGTGCTGCTGTGCGGGCCAGCAGGGCATGCATGCATCCCCAGGGAGGGCACAGCCTGCACAGGCCAGGCCTCTTTGCTGTGTGCCAGCCAGCAGGGCATGCATGCATCCCCAGGAAGGGGCACAGCCTGCACAGGCCAGGCCCCCGACAGAGCCCCCAGCAGCCCATGCTTGGAGCAGTCAGGGACTCAGTGTCTCCGTCCCCGAGGGGAGCTCTGGCTGTTGCCTCAGCATGTGCCCTGTGAACGTGTGTGAGTGCCTGGCAGCCACCTGCTTCCTTCATCACAAGTGGACATGCGGGGGCTGTGAGGAGGCCAGTGCGCACGGACGGTGTCCGGGAGCTCTCTGCTCTCCCCTCCATTGTGCGGCGAATCTAAACTGCTCAAAACAGTCAGCTTTTAGAGAGTTCGAGCGCGACGTGATTAGCCAGAGGCTGAAGAGAGCTCGGTTGTGTGGGTCTCGTCCGCCCAGTGTGTGGACTGCCCGGCCCTGTCCCTCTTCCTGTCCCTCACGGCTGCCACGCAGCTCTCTCCGCACTGGTCAAGTGAAGAACGTGGCGAAGCTGAGATCGAGCCCACTCATTCCCCATGGGTGCGAGCAGAACGTGTGACAGGAGAGACTGTGATTCAGGCAGGTTGTGCTTCTAAGACCAACAGTGCCCCCGCCTCCTCGTCTGAAAGGCCACGTCTGGCGTAGGGAAAACAGTCACTGCGGAAGGCTCAGAGTCCGCCGGCAGAGCCCTTCCCGCAGCGACACTCGGCCCGCCCGGCACTGCGGCTGCTCTGCAGGGGTGCATCGCCTCCCGGTCGCCCGCCATTCCTTCCTCGGGAGTTCACACCCTGTCATCTTCCTTCCCCGCTGACGCAACAGATCACACTGCACGACAACCGCCCTGCCCGGGACCCGCGCCGGGCGCCGGGCGCACGCCTGCTTGTGAAAGGCCTGTTTCGTGGGAGAGTGGGTATCCCTCATGTTGCTGTGACATCATGACGGGAAGTGCTCTGTCACACACGCCCCAGAGGGGAGGCTCGCGTCACGCGGTGTCTTCCCTGCTCGAGCTCCTTCCTGAGTGGCTCTTCTCCCACCCACCTGACCCGGCAACCTGTCTGATACCCGAGGACAAGAAGGGTTACTCCGGACTGCAGCCAATGCCACCCAGATGCCTTCGTCTTCATTTGGAAAGCCCCCGAGTCTCGCCCTTATCCAGCTTCATAGCTCACTCCCACAGCCCTTCTCTGCCCTTACCTGCGACCGGTTTTCTCCAGCTCCCTGACCACCTGCATCCCCAGCTGTCTCTCCTCTCGCTCTAGCTGGGCCTGATCCCGCCATCGGGCTCTTGACCCGGACCAGCCCGCCCGCATCTCCACCTCCCTCCTCAGTCGGCTACCTACATGAGTCACCCATCACGTCTGCCGCTCACTTTAAACCCTGCCTCCACTGCCCGCCTCTGACCGCCCTGTGCTCGTCCAGCCGTCTCTCCCTCGGAACCCGTGCTCCTGGGCATCTCTGAAGAAAAGCACACAGCACCCCCCTCATACTCTCCGCCCTAAATGCACATTCTCGATTGTAGCGCAGTCTCCGGGCTCCTAGACCTCTTCCCTCCCTTCCTCTGCGGTTGCTTTCGGGATTTCCCTCTGCGTTTCTACTGCTTAAATAGGGTCATCGGGGCTGTAGGCTTTTAGGCATTTGTCTCATTTGGTGTTCCCGAAGCTTCCTGGATCTGTGGTTTTGTGTCTGCCACTGATTTGGAGGAAATCTTATATTATTACAAATATTTCTTCTGTTCCGTTCCTTGTCCTTGGGTAGCCCCGTGACACACTTTACACCTCTGGTAATTGTCTCTGCGCCTTTTCATTTCTTTTTGCCTTTGGAAGTCTCCATGACTTTATCTTCAAGTCCACTGATTCTTTCCTCTGCTTTGGCTCGCTTACTGATGAGCCCATCAAAAGCATTCACTTCTGTTGGTTTTTAAAATTTTTTCTTCCATTTTCTTTTGATTCTTAGAGTTTCCCTCTCTCTCCGTACATTAACAGTCTGTTCTTGCATGTTGTCTACTTTTTTCCATTAGAGCCCTTAACAGATTAATTACAATTACTTTACATTTCTGGTCTGATCATTCCAACATCCCGCATGTCTGTCTGAGTCTCGCTCTGATGTTGCTTTGTGTTCAGACTTCGTCTGCCTTCGAGCCTCAACACTTTTTCTTGAAGGCCAGGCGTGCTGCAGTGGGTAAAGACACTGAGGTACACAGACCTTTACGATGGGTCTTCCGTCTGTCTGACAGAAGTCAGACGGTGTTCACTGTTCGTCACCGCGCCGGCAGAGGCCGACCCTTCCTCTGCTGTCGTTTGTCCCCTAAGGAAAGAACAGGGGCTGCGCGCACTCACGCCCCTCCCCCCTCCCCCTCCCCCTCTGGAGCCCTTCCGGTTCCTTGCGCACTTTTCTTCCATCGCCTGTCGACGTCGGTGCTCCTCGGGGTTCGCCGTGAGGCTCCCTCACTCGGTGCTCTCGTCATCCAGCCCTCTCCCGGCTTCCTCTCGCCACTTGTGCGCCGACGACTCCCGAGTGTGCTTCTCCGAGCTGTCCTCTCAAATCCTCCAGCACGGTTTTGGTGGCACTGCATAGACCAGAGGGTCCTGTCGTTTGAAATACTCTGTATTTACTCCAGAAAATACTCCGTAAGACCACTTTCCTCTTTGTGGCCATTCTCTTCATCTGATTTATCCTTGAAAATTAAAATGTGCTTATACGTTTTTATATAGGTCACTTAATGCTGAAAGATCTACATTTTCTGGTGCAGTCCACGTGCCTTTTCGCTGGTCAAGGCAGTTCTGCCCCAGTCACATTCCATTATCACCCAAATGTCACTTACATACCTACATGACAGACAACCTCAGTTCGCCTGTAAGAGGAAAATCTCAAGTTTCCTTTACAATAAAGGATGAAAGACTGAGAATGCTGATATCATCATAGTTAGGCCGGGTGAAAAGCAGACACAGTGAGTACCTGACGATCATACCGTTTAGCCCTGGCCTGCGGACCAGTGAGGCAGGGGCTCATTCTGGCCAGGGGCCCGCACCTGTTGCAGTTCGTTCGCGGCCCTGGTCGGGGTCGTGCAGGAGGCGGCCAGTCAGTGTCTCTCACACTGATGTTTCTCTCTCTCTCCCCTTTTCTCCCTCTCTTCCTCCCACTCTGTCTGAAGATAAATGGAAAAATGTCCTCGGGTGAGGATTAAAAAAAAGAGATCATGCCTTTTAGAGTTAAATAAATTAAAATAAATCTAAACAACCCTGGCTGGTTTGGCTCAGCGGTTAGAGCGTCGGCCTGTGGTCCAGAGAGACCCGGGTTCGGTTCCCGCTAAGGGCACGCACCTCGGTTGCGGTTTGTCCCCGGCCCTGGTTGGTCGTGCGGGTGGCAGCCACTCGATGTGTTCCTTTCACATCGATGTTTCTCTCTCTTATTCTCTCTCCCTCCCACTCTATCTGAACAAAAAATGGAAGTGTCCTCGGGTGAGGATAAAAAATAAATAATTAAATAAATAAATAAATCTAAACATTACAGATTATATCACAATTCAGAAGGCTTCTTAATGATCCCAGCTCATCCTTCTCTGCCTTTTAGTTCTGTAAAATCTCAGCTGTGAGCTCTCATTTCACCCCTTCGTACTTGTGTTGGCTGACAAGGGAGCGTTGCTACTGCTAAGAAATCTGCGCCACCCTGGCCAGTTTGGCTCAGCGGTTAGAGCAGGGACCCACAGACTGAACGGTCTCGGGTTCGATCCCCAGCCCCAGTTGGGGTTGTGCTAAAGGCAACTAATCGATGTCTCTCTCTCATGTCAATGTTTCTTTTTCTCTCTGTGCCTCTCTTCCTCCCTTCCACTCTATATAAAAATCAATGGGAAAATATCCTCAGGTGGGGATTAACAAAAATAAATAAATAAATATATGTATGTATGATGTATGTATGTATGTATGTCTGCACCATTGCCCGGCCAGTGTGGCTCAGTGGTTGAGTGTCCGCCCCTGTACCAAGAGGCCACCTGTTTGATTCCCGGTCAGGGCACATGCCTGGGTTGCATGCTCAATCCCCAGTAGGGGGTGTGCAGGAGGCAACCGATTTATGTTTCTCTCTCACTGATGATTCTGACTCTCTCTCCCTCTCCCTTCCTTTGTCTCTAAAAATTCATAAAAACATTTTAAAAACAATAATAGTGAAATAAGCCAGTCAGAGAAAGACAAGTATCACGTGATCTCATTTATTTGTGGAATATAATGAACAAACTAAGGTGATGAACAAAATAGACCTAGAGACATAGAGGTAGGTTCAGATTGACAAACTTCAGAGGAGGCGGGGGGGGGGGGAGATAAACCAAAGAACTGACACATATTAGCCTAACCCATGGACATAGACAACAATGCTGGGGGGGGGGGCAGGAGGAGGGTGTCAATGGGGGTAAAAGGAGAAACAGCTATAATAAAAATAAATTTAAATTTTTTAAATGCAAAAAAAACCCTAATAATAATAAAACAAAAGTTTGCACCACTAAAAGCAACTGAAAAGAGGTGTTCTATTGTTTTTTGTGCACTCAACTGAATTAATGGTTTTATTCTCTTGTATTCCATCAATTCCAATTATTATACAAAGGTTTAAGTGACACTAAAGACTCTCCCAAGCTGCCCATTTGTATAAAATGCACACAGTGTTGCCCCAGCAGATCAGTGGGTCTTAGAGAGGGGCCCCCAGCCCACCAGCACATGTCGCCCGGGCTCTTCATTTTCCTCTTTCTCAGACTGGGTCATCTTCGTGTTTGTTTCTTTCCTCTGCCGATTTAAATCGGCTGTTGAGCCACTCTAGTGAATTTCTAACTTACTGTACTCTGGAAGTGGGGTGTTTGTGTGCATGTGATAGATACTCTATTTTGGGGAGACACTGTCCTCATAATTTCCTTCAGTCTTCAAACATGATAACCTTTCGTTCTTTGAACAAATTTATAACAGCCGAGTTCGTTTTGGCCTACTAAGTCAAACATCTAGGGTTCCTTGGGGCCAGTTTCTATTGACTACTTTCTCTTTGTCCTTTGCATGGCTCATACTTTCCTGTTTGTGTGTGTTGTAATCTTCCGTTGAAAACGGGCATTTTAGACCACGTGTTAACCCTTGGAATGGTCCCCGGCTCTGTGGCTGCTGTTGGTTGTTGCTGCTGCTCTTTGTGCAGCGACTTTCCGGAACGGATTCTGAACTGCTGTGTGAGGCCACTGACATCTGTCCTCAGCTTCCTGGTCAGGGATGATCAGAAAGAGGTTTTCTTGATCGTGTGGGGAACGTCTGGCCCATGGGCCAGGCCTGTGAAATACCAGCTGACATCACAGCCTCACCAGGTTAGCCTGACCAAATGTAGCAGGCTCATTTTTAAGTTGCTAATTTTGTATGGCCTGCAAATGATGTTATAAATATCCAAAAGGCCGTTGGCAGAGAAAAGATTCCCCACCCTAGCCTGGAATGAATGATTAGGTGAGCATCAGGGCCTTCTCGTGTCTTTGGTCTGGAAACAGTTGCGCTGTGTGTGGCCTGTTAGATGCCCAGGAACGTGTCGGAGTGTTTCAGAGCCCTTCTGAGCATCTCATTTGCCCTTTTCCTTTGGTCAGCCTCTCCTTAGCCCAAACTGATAGCACAGCCTCAGGCAGCTTCAGCGTAAACAATTGCTAAAGATTGTTTTCAACGAACAGTCCAGTTTGACAGGGCTGCTCACACAGAGCACCTCAGTCTGTGCAGTAAAGACACGCTGAGAATGGAGCTTCTCGGGGCGGTCCATCAGTGACCATTCTCTGGGGAGAATGGCTTAAAACATTTACCCTCCGATAAGAGACCATGTTACATCTTAGAAATGTCCCGTAAAGTGGTTCCCTTGCTGTCCAAGCTTACCTGTTCCTTGTTCATTGCAGCCCTTCGGAGTAAACCAGCCTGGCCCTTACATCATGTACACCACTGTCGATGCCAACGGATATCCGAAAAATGGCTCAGGTAAGACCCGCACGGTGCCCACAATGCACAGAACACCTTTCCTTGGTACACTGGCAGGGTGCACTGGGTGACAAACTCACCGTGTTTTCACACCCTTTACACAGTCTTCACTTTCTATGTTATACTCGGTCTCTCTGTAGACTTAATCAGTAGATCACAGAAGGTCCTCATGACAAGTACATTGGCATTAATTTCTCATCTGTCCCTGTTGTGACGGAGCCAAGTCGTTACCCTGTTTGTCCATGGAAGAAGCAGAGAGAGAGAAATGACATCTTGATCCAACTGTGGCGTGGTAAACTAGCTGACAAAGCTCATCTTAGAGAAGTAAAAGTTAGGAATCCAGTCCACAGCCTAAAGTAATCCTAGTTTTTTCCCTAGTGGAATAGAAGCTGGAATATTACATAGAGGTCGTTTTGATATATGATCGTGAAGAAAGACTCCAGCCCTGGCCAGTGTGGCTCAGTGGTTAGAGTGCCGGCCCTCCCCCCAAGGGTCTTGGGTTCGATTTCTGGTCAAGGGCACATACCTGGGTTGCAGGTTCGATCCCCGGCCCCTTTGGGGGCACTTGTGGGAGGCAACTGATTGATGTGTGTCTCACATCAATGTTTCTCTCTCTCTCTCTGTCTATCCCTCCCTCCCTGCTGGTCTGTCTAGAATCAGTGGGAAAATATCTTCAGGTGAGAATTAACAAAAAAATTAAAACTCTGGTTATACTTCTGAATAAATAAAGGGAAATGCAGTGTAGACGCAGGAAATCAAGGCTGTGTGCCTTGGAGGACACCCAGATCACAGCAACACCACAGGGACCCAAACACGTTAGCGTGCTTCTCGGCGGCACCCAGAGTCCTAACCATGAGGTATACACAGAGTTGCTTTACTCTCCACTTTTGTGGACCCAGAAACACGAAGAGCGCACTGCGTGGCCGTTCCTGTTTCACGCAGTGGCGTCACGTAAACGCACCAGAGCGAGTGTCCCCTGAGCTGACTGTGCACGACTGCGCACGACTGCGCACGACTGTGCACGACCGCACTGGGCCCCGCTGCCGCTTCGGCAGACGAGAGCTGTGGCAGTTCCAGGAGAACTGACCCACTCAGTTGTCCCCAGGGGGGATCTGCGATGTTCGTCAAGGAAACTAACAAATAAGGATACAGACCATGTGAACTAATGACCCCTTTCCATTGTACTTTACATACATGTTAAAGCATACAAAACAAATTCAGGACTAGCTGGTGTTCTCTCTTTTTTAGCTTGAGCAAAGAGTGATCAGGCATATTTTTGTGTCCAAAGAAAGCCACGAATCGGTAAAGTAAAATGGAAAGAAGTGTACATCCCCCGGAACATCCACGGCGTCCCCTTCCCTGAGAGCAGGACTCTCCGCCGGAGGAATCTTCCCTTTCCTTAGTTCCTCCTCCCCTGAAGCAGCGGTCTCCAGCTGCGGGTCCTGGCCCCTTTGGGGTGGAACGACCCTTCACAGGGGTCGCCTGAGACATCACAGCAGCAAAATGACAGTTATGCAGTAGCAACAAAAACAATTTATGGTTGGGGGTCCCCACAACAGGAGGAGCTGTAGTAAAGGGTCGCGGCATCAGGAAGGTTGAGAACCGCTGCCCTTAGGATCGGACAGGAAAGCCCATCGACAGATACGGGGGTTGGGAGGGACTCGGCTGGTGATGGTGACTTTTCTCACTGAAAGGAAAGGGAGGGGAGAGGGAGATGCTGGTACCTCCTCTTGATACAATCACAGAAACCGAATGACTGAAAGAATGAATGAATTATAAAACATACAGGAAGTCTGAGAAACTCTAAAAGGTTGCAGCTTCTTCAGCTGTTCAGCAATTAGAACTCCATCTGCACAGATGCAGATGAGCCAAAGACAGACTCTGGGAAGTCACAGAAGGAGCATTAGGAATTGTAGTGCCAACAGGAACCAAAGAGCTCCGTGCAGTGCCGTTGACATGTCTGACAGTTTATCATCTTGCTCTGTGATGAGAGCGACGTTGCCAAGGACGCCTTTCTTTTCTTTAACACCTTCAGCCGGACAGCTCAGCCAGTCGGCGCATCTGGCTCTCCAGCTGCCGTACAACGTGCTCGGCTTAGGTCGGAGCGCCAACTTCCTGGACCACCTCTACGTCGGCATTCCCCGCCCAGCCGGAGAGAAGGTGCGTGGGGAGATTTCGCTCGCCATTACTCTGTCCTGATATTCACTGTTCAAACATCTGAGTTCAGTTGAGTTAAATTGCAGTAATTCAAACATTCTTTTCCCTGGAAAGAGCCAAGCACATTGACTGGCAGTGACCTCTGAGCTTTATCCCGCACGGAGCACTTCATAATTTGAGTCGTTTTCTGCCTCCTCTGCCGTGAACCTCCCGACTGCCTGTTGCCCCTTCCTGCTGCTCACTGTCTAACAAGCTGTCATATTTGCCAGTTGTCACTTGCCTCACCTGTGAACAGTGACTGCTGCCTAAGAGTGTTCAGGAAGTGTTTGCTGAATCAGGGCGTCCCCGAGGTGAATCGGAACCCTTCCCTGAAAGATCAGAATCATCTGCAACAGGGCACAGGATCCCTGCTTGGGGCTTGACATACGTAAATGTAACCTCATCCTTGCCCAGAATTTCCATTAATCCAAAGAGCACTTGTCTTTTCCTGATTTGTTTAGAGCAGCTGTGTTTTCAGAGCGTCCGGTGTTAAGTGTACCTAACCTCTGTTTGCAGTCTGTGCGGAAGCAGGAGTGGACGGCGATCATCCCAAACTCCCAGCTGATCGTCATCCCGTACCCGCACGACGTCCCTCGGAGGTAACGCCCGGCCGGGGGGGGGGCGCTGAGGCCCCGGGTCACAGGCGCGGCTGCATCTGTTCTCTTCCTTTTCTTTTTTCCTTCATTGATTTTAGAGAGAGAGGAGGGGAGGGGGAGAGAGATAGAAACATCGATGAGAGAGAACATCGACTGGCCGCCTCCTGCACGCCCCCCACTGGGCATCGGGCCCACAACCTGGGCATGTGCCCTGACCGGGAATCGAACCGGCGACCTCTTGGTGCAGGGTCGACGCTCAGCCACTGAGCCACACCGGCCGGGCAGTTCCATCTTTTTAAAAAGTATATGATAAAGGTATTTACTAACATTTAAATTTTGTGTAGAAAAACATAACATGATTTTTATTCATGACACGTTCTAAGGCTGGCCTGATATCCATGTGATAAGTAACCAGAGAGAAATGGGAGAACGCATCTCTGAAACGTGACCAGTGGGTCCTGCACGTCACGGTTCTTCTCAGAATGGGGCTGGGCTGTGCTTTGCTACGTTTCGAGGCGGGACACAGTCAACGGCTAGAAACGGTCCGAGGCCACATTCTTCACAAAATCTGCGTGATGTGTGTGAGCTTTCTGTGCGTAAAACGTGTGACAAACCCAGAGAACCTGCACCCCGAGCCGGAAGCTGTGTCGACGACGGGGCTTCTGTGTGGTGCGAGGTCAGGACACGGAGCGTCCTCGGCACGGTGAGCAGGAGCAGGGGAAGCTGTGTCGACGACGGGGCGTCTGTGTGGTGCGAGGTCAGGACACGGAGCGTCCTCGGCACGGTGAGCAGGAGCAGGGGAAGCTGGGTCGACGACGGGGCTTCTGTGTGGTGCGAGGTCAGGACACGGAGCGTCCTCGGCACGGTGAGCAGGAGCAGGGGAAGCTGGGTCGACGACGGGGCGTCTGTGTGGTGCGAGGTCAGGACACGGAGCGTCCTCGGCACGGTGAGCAGGAGCAGGGGAAGCTGGGTCGACGACGGGGCGTCTGTGTGGTGCGAGGTCAGGACACGAGCGTCCTCGGCACGGTGAGCAGGAGCAGGGGAAGCTGGGTCGACGACGGGGCTTCTGTGTGGTGCGAGGTCAGGACACGGAGCGTCCTCGGCACGGTGAGCAGGAGCAGGGGAAGCTGGGTCGACGACGGGGCTTCTGTGTGGTGCGAGGTCAGGACACGGAGCGTCCTCGGCACGGTGAGCAGGAGCAGGGGAAGCTGTGTCGACGACGGGGCTTCTGTGTGGTGCGAGGTCAGGACACGGAGCGTCCTCGGCACGGTGAGCAGGAGCAGGGGGAGCTGTGTCGACGACGGGACTTCTGTGTGGTGCGAGGGCAGGACACGGAGCGTCCTCGGCACGGTGAGCAGGAGCAGGGGGAGCTGTGTCGACGACGGGGCTTCTGTGTGGTGCGAGGGCAGGACATGGAGCGTCCTCGGCACGGTGAGCAGGAGCAGGGGGAGCTGGGTCGACGACGGGGCTTCTGTGTGGTGCGAGGTCAGGACACGGAGCGTCCTCGGCACGGTGAGCAGGAGCAGGGGGAGCTGTGTCGACGACGGGGCTTCTGTGTGGTGCGAGGGCAGGACACGGAGCGTCCTCGGCACGGTGAGCAGGAGCAGGGGGAGCTGTGTCGACGACGGGGCTTCTGTGTGGTGCGAGGGCAGGACACGGAGCGTCCTCAGCACGGTGAGCAGGAGCAGGGGAAGCTGTGTCGACGACGGGGCTTCTGTGTGGTGCGAGGGCAGGACACGGAGCGTCCTCGGCACGGTGAGCAGGAGCAGGGGGAGCGCAGAGGCCGGCCTGAGCCCTGCCAGAGGTGCTCCCGGCAGCTGCACACGTGTCCCGTCCGGCGCCTCGGGGCTGCACTGCGCTGCCAAGGAGCCTGCTCCTAGTCGGCCCGAGGGGTGGCCTTTCCTCTGCTGTTTTCTTACCAACATTCCTGGATTCATGGGGTTTTAAATCTATGTAAAAAGTCAAACTGAGCCGGTGTGGCTCAGTGGCTGAGCGTCGACCCTGCACCAAGAGGTCACCGGTTCGATTCCCGGTCAGGGCACATGCCCAGGTTGTGGGCCCGACCCCCAGTGGGGGGCGTGCAGAAGGCGGCCAGTCCATGTTCTCTCTCATCGATGTTTCTATCTCTCTCTCTCCTTCTCCCTTCCTCTCTCTCTAAAATCAATAAAGAAAAAAAAAACTTTTTAAAAAGTCAAACTTCAAAAAAGTCCTCAGGAAAGAACTGTTGTGCAGTGTGCGGTAGATGCTGAGACTAGCTAGCCTCCGCTAACCAGCAGCACTGTTTTCTTACTCTTGACTTCCTGGAGAACTCTGTCCGGCTTCCCTCCACCGTCCCAACATTGGTCACGTTTCTCTCGCTCTTTCTGAAGAAACGTTCTTTCAGATTTATGTACATAGTAAAAGCCAAATTGATTTCAGGTTGAGGCGTATTTTGAGATTTACTCACTAGAGACTACCTCATGAATCAATACATTTTAATTATCCCCAAATAAGTCAATCGTTACTTGCCATTCGTGAGAATTCATCTTACCTTTATTGAACTTCTAAAATGAAAGTACACCCGTTACCTCTCTTTGGGGAGAACAAGAGGGATCTGTGCAGAACCACCTGCAGTCCTGGTGACCCGTGTGGGCGTCCCGGGCGCACGCGCTGGAGCGTGGGCTGGCTCAGAAGACAGCCCGGTTCTGTTCACAAAGTCTGTGTGTTGCCGTCACCACAGACGGACTCCGCACGGCTCTGTGAGGTCTCAGGTCTGCGGGACCGGCCACCCTCCACCACGACAGGCCATCTCTCTAACCCACCCGGACGTGTGGCTGTTGTCGTCAGTCACGGCACATATGTGAACAGGGGGTTAAAAACAGATGCTACAGAAATGTTATCGAAATCATCTGGCTGTACAGCCGCAGAGTTCAAGGTTTCCGATTAAGTCAAGCAGGATGTGAGAACAATGTCTAACATTGTCCCAAGTACCCTTGGTAAAGGTACCTAAGAATAATTCTCACAGGGTCGAGGAGAAATATCACAGCGTCTCACCAACAGCCCTGGCCTGTTTCGGTCGCGGGGGGACATCTGAACCCTGGGCTCATCGGTACCTAGTCCTGTGTACACGTAACTGCTTTCGCCCCGTTGCCAACGAATGGGTAGTGGGCAAGTGACCTGAGCGGATGGACCGTCCGTGGCCAAGCCGCTTTGCGTTCGGTGTCCGTGGAGTTGTGTCTTTAAGTCAAAGCTGTCATTTGACCCTGTCTCCGCCCGCAGCTGGAGTGCCAAACTGTACCTGACCCCGAGCAACATCGTCCTGTTGACGGCCGTGGCGCTTGTCGGCGTCTGCGTGTTCATCCTGGCCATCATCGGAGTCCTGCACTGGCAGGAGAAGGTGCGTCCGCGTGTCAGCGCCGCGTCGCTAGCTTGTCGCGTGACACTGCTCTGTACAAACATCCCAGTTTAAGCTTTTGTGAAGGAGTAAGACTTCTTGACGTTTCTAGTTCTCTCCATTCTGATCATTTCTTTTATCCCCTGAAGTTACTGTGTCTCCTAGCAGTTCATATAAATCACAGGAGACCATTTACTTTAAAACTTTGATATTGTACAGCAGTGGTAAAGTTACCACCCCAAAAGCACCAGGCCTATAGAAAAATGTAATTAGAAACAATTTCATAATGGCCTGAAAAAATGAGACTCATTTCTGAGTGGGTGTGTTCATGACCTCGAGGGAGGTGACACTCTCGGCCGAGTCGGCAGAGGGAGCGTGTCTCGGTCCAGGCGGGAAGCAGCAGGTGACCCCTCTTCGCCGCCTGCCAAGGACTCTGCAGTAGCCTGATGTCTGCACTCGAGTGCAGCACCCTAAAGAGTAAAACCAAAACTCCAGAAAGGTGGATTTTCACACCGTACTAGTGAGGAGAAAAGAGGCCACCGTAAATGTATTGCCGTCCAGATGGACGTTGAGAAGGCTGACTCCTAGTCGTACGTGAACATGAAGCACACAACTAGGAGGTCTGAGCAGTCTTCCCAAAGGGCTCCTTTGTGTCATGAAAGTCTCTTTCCCACACCGGCTCCCTTGGCACCGCCATGCTCGTCACAACCCTTCTTAACCGAAATCACCGGCAGTGTTATCCTTGCTATTTTAACGTATGAAAAAGAACATGTTCCTTGTTCTGATAAATGTTCATGGGTTTGTCTCTCCAAAAATATCACTCCTTTCCGATCAAAAATATGCTAACAAGTCCTGGCTGGTTGGGCTCAGTGGCTGGAGCATCAGCCCAAGGACCAACGAGTCTTGGGTTCGATTCCAGTCAAGGGCATGTACCTCGGTTGAGGTTCGGTCCCCGGCCCTGGTCCGGGTTGTGCGGGAGGCAACCATTTCATGTGTCTCTTTGCATCGATGCTTCTCTCTGTCTCTGTCTCTCTGTCTCCCCCCCCCCCCCCCCCCGTCTGAAGATCAATGGGGAGAAATATCCTCAGGTGAGGATTTAAAAAAATAAAAAGAAAACAATATGATAACAAAATTACATACTCAGGTCATTTTAAGATCAACTTAAGAGGTGAGACCCAGGGTGACCTTACCAGGAGGTCAGATCTGTCCAGAACTGTCAGATCATAGTCTGAAATATTACATAGCTCTAGGCCTAAATCAAGGAAATTAATTTCATTAATTTCTCATCATTGTGGGCTTATCACAATAATGCTGCCTGGCTAAAAACTGAGGTTTCACATACAAATGTGTGTGCTGCCCGCCCCCGTGGGTCTCTTCCTGCCCCGCCCCGTGGGTCTCCTCCTGTGGGTCTCTTCCTGCCCCGCCCCCTGGGTCTCCTCCTGTGGGGCTCTTCCTGCCCCGCCCCGTGGGTCTCCTCCTGCCCCGCCCCGTGGGTCTCCTCCTGTGGGTCTCCTCCTGCCCCGCCCCGTGGGTCTCCTCCTGTGGGTCTCCTCCTGCCCCGCCCCGTGGGTCTCCTCCTGTGGGTCTCCTCCTGCCCCGCCCCGTGGGTCTCTTCCCGCCCCGCCCCGTGGGTCTCCTCCCGCCACGCTCACCCAAGTCCAGCTCTGGCCGGAGCTCAGACTGCCCAGCCCTCTCCCTGCAGGCTCTTCCCCACCTCAGCTCCGCCCTGACCTCTCCACCTGGGTCATTGCCAGTCCCTTAAACCAGGATTCTCGTCTCTCCTCCTTCCTCGGCCAGTTGCCCTCCTGACTCCAGCTCCTTCGGAACCTCTGCCCAGGCCCATCACACCACCTGGTCCCCCCTTCCGCCCTGTCCCCTCTCCTCTCCTCCGCAGGGAAGCCAGCCTCCCTCGTGTCACCCCTCTGCTCAGACCTCGGGGACCCACCAGGGACCTGTGGGTCTTCGCCAGGGCCCCCTTGCAGCCGTCCTACCCTTCCGGGAACACCCCTTTCCAGACATCCCCCCTCACCCGCCTAAAGGGGTCTCTCTCAGAACACTGGTAACATCGTCCACTTTCCCTCCGGAAACACTGCTCCGTGTGTTTGGCTTTTTCTCTCCAGGCTTTGAATCCCTTGAGAACAAGTCACAGAGCGGAGGGTCTTTGTAGTCCCTCCAAGTGCCGAGCACAGGGCTTTGCTGGCAGCAGAGTCAATAAGTATCTGCTAACTCAGTGGGGTAACCCAGCATAATGAATGCAGTTTAAAACAATTAATTCAGATCTGCTATTAACATCAGTGCATCTCTTGCTGGTTTTTAGATTTAATTTAGTGGGTCATTAATTATAAAATCAGTCCTGTAAATGTCAAAAACAGTGATACAATTGTTACAAAGCCACACCCGTTAGCGGTGAGTTGCTGAGGGTTTTTTTTAATTACCCACTTTAATTTCAGAAACGAGTCTCTTCTTGACATTTCCTGTCATTTATAAACGAGTCCAACATTCTCTTGCAGAAAGCAGACGACCGAGAGAAGCGACAAGAAGCCCACCGATTCCACTTCGACGCCATGTGACCTGCCTTTAATCATGTTATGGAACGTCGACTTGCTTGATTAACTGAAATGCTAAATTTGGGGGATTTTGAATATTATTTATAAATTATGCATCCTTTGGTAATTACTGGAAAGTATTCAAATAAATATGGTCTGAATGTGTCGCAGCTGTCTTGTAAGGCCCTCTGTAGACAGACTTGGCTCCCCGTCCGGCTGCGCTGTGCATTTCTCCCGGTGGGTGTGGTGCCTGTGCTCAGGTGTGTGTGTTTCTAACCTGTTAGGGTAACGGTGATGGGGAAGACTGTCCATAAAACATTCCAACAAGCAGGTTTCTGATCTCCCTCTAGAACTGGTCTTGCTTCTTACCCTGAAGATGCCAGTAACACCTTTGTGACTGTCTCACAGATGAAGTTACTAACCCCCCTCCCTCGCGGCAGGTCAGTGCCAGGACCGGAGCTCGGGCTTTGGGACCGAGTCCCACGGGCTTGCCTTCCCCTCCCGGTGCCACCACAGGCCGCGGGAACGCGGGCGGCCAGCACTTGGCCTCCACGAGAGCCCGTGTCCTTGCTCGTCAGCGGCCGAGCTCCTGTGAGCCTCAAGTGGGAAGCTGCGTGAGTGCTGAGCTCGGAGTGGCGCCCGAGCAAGTGCGCATTGTCCTCACTGTTGTCGGGTGAGGTTTCAGACGCCTGCAGCGGACTCAAGAGACAGACTGGACAGAACGTTTTCGGGGTTAGGGAATCGTGTTCGGAAAACCTAGCTTCTTGGTGGTTGATAATCTTACAGAAGGGTTTATTACTTGCGCATATTAACTGTAACTAAAAATACTATAGCACCCTCCAAAAATTAGTGTGCCCCAAAACGTCCTTTGGACCCGGATTCTCATCGTGTGGTGATGAAGAGCATTCGAATTCCTGGGTGGGGACTGTGCAGGCCACGTGGGGAGGGGTCTGGGGAGGGGCAGCGGCAGCCACATTCCTGTCCTGGAAGCGTGGGGTCTGGAACTGCACTCGGGCCTCAGTGCAGGGCCCACGAACCTCACCTCGAACCTCACCTCGGGGCTGCGCTGTTTCAACTTGTAACTAAGCTGGGGGAGGGGTTACATCTCAGCGTTAATAATGGCCATGTGACGGCTCTAAAACCTAAAAATTACCGAAAACAATTACTTTTGTTCTCCTGTTATGTTCTGCTCTGTATTTCACTGAGAACGGCATGCGTGAAGCGGTTCACTGGTGTCTAAGCATGTTGATGTCAATAAACACCCTGTACTCCCAGGGCGTTCGGTGAGTGTGTGCTTACTCCGGAGCCTGAGGAGGCGTGCGGGGTTAGGGTCTCCCCTGCCTGGGCTGAGACGGGAAGGGACGGCCCAGGGGCCCGGGGGCCAGGGCGGACGGGCAGCCGTGGGTGCAGCGGTCAGTCCAACCCACGGCAGGTCCCGGCCGCAGCGCTGAGCTGAGACAGCGGGGCTCGGGGTCCATCATGGCACCGCCCGGACAGTGCTACAGGCAGACCGGTGCTACTGACAGTCACAGGTACAGCCACAGTGACCTCGTAGTCTGGTACTGACCTCCAGCTCAACGTCAGTGTCATGAAGGGCCAGCAGGCGCAAAACATGGAGACTCAAATACAAACACCTTTTTTTAAAATTCCTCACCTGAGGATTCATCTTCAGACAGAGTGGGACTGGGGTGGTGGAGGGGAGAGAGAAGCATCGATGTGACAGAGACACGACATCTGGTTGCCTCCCGCACGACTGCAACCAGGGCCGGGGACCAAACCACAACCGAGGTGCGTGCCCTTAACCAGAATCGAACCCGTGACTCTGGTCCGCAGGCCAACGCTCTACCCGCTGAGCCAAACCGGCCAGGGCAACACAAACACCTTTTCGTATTAATTTTGAATATTGTAGTGGAAAGAGCACAAGACTTCGAGGTTAGACAAATCTGGATTCAGGGCCTAACTGTCCACTTTGAGACTTTCATTCCGTCCTTGTCCTCTGTGAGCTTCATCCGTAAAACCGGGCTGAGTGCCACCTCCCTGCAGGACTGCCTTGGGTCTCTCAGGGCAGATGGCACAGAGGGGCATGGTACCTGCTGGCTCCTTCCTGCCCTCCCACTTCCCACTGCCGTGACCATACGACATTTTCTGACTCCTCCGCTCGTCTACGCTTCTGTAGCCTCCTCCTCTGGGGAGCTAGGAGAAGAAGGTCTTAATCATTTTGAGGTAAAAATGACAGTATCCGTAATACAGCTCACACAGGTTTGAACTTGGAGGGTCTATTGTGGATTTTTTCAAGAAATATTGTCAGTGTACTTTCTCATGATTTTCTTAATAACATTTTCTCTAGCTGGCTTTATTGGAAGAACACAATATATAATACATGTAACATAAAATACGTGTTAACCAACTGTTCATGCTGTCAGTGAGACTTCCAATCAACAGTAGGCTGCTAGTAGTCAGAAGTTATATGAGAAGGCCGGCCTGTGTGGCCCAGTGTTTGAGCATCGATCCATGCACCAAGAGGTCGCCAGTTCAATTCCCGGTCAAGGCACATGCCCAGGTTGTGCACTAAATCACCATGGGGGGGGGGCATGCAGGAGGCGAGCCAATCGATGTTCTCTCTCATCGCTGTTTCTCTCTCCCTCTCCCTTCCTGTCTCTCTAAAAATCAATAAAGAAAAAAAAAAATGTTTTACATTATATGAGGGTTTTCAACTGCAAGGGGGTGAGGGTTGATGCCCCTAAACCTCATGTTGTTAAAGGTCAACTGTACTGTAAATACTTGTTAACACACCATTTATTTGGACTAGCCCTTTATCTTTCTCCATCTACCAGCCAAAAAAACGATATGTTTTCAAAAGCTTGATTCCCCAAACAGCTCTTAGTCCTAGCGCTCAGGACTAAAGGTCACAACCTTCACCCATGCTTCCCTCCCCCCTCCCACTCCTGCTACGGAAAAGGGGGGACCCATTATCTGGAGATACCTCGGCATTCACCCCCCCACATTACTAAACAGTCCTATAAACCTAGGCAGAGCATCTCACAGGCTGGGGTTACTAAACCATCACAGGGAAACAGGCCTTGGCTTCGTCGGATAAATCTTAGATGTATACAGGAGTCCAGTGGATTCTTAGGGTCATTGCAAGAGAATGAGTTTGACTCCACGTTTTAAAAAATTTCTTTTGTTTATTAGAAAACCTCTAAGCAAGAATAAAACCAGTTACAAATCGTTAGAACCACTCAGAAAAGAAACTGAAGAGCGTGACTTGTGTCCCACAGCACGAGGTATACTGAGGGCTCAGCTACACACTTAGGGCCGACTCCTCAACACGGAGCTGAACTAAGGGAGCCAAGGTTGTGATGACTTGCAGCTGGCTTTCCAGCACCGGGCAGCTCTTCTAAAAGACGGATAGTAATAAACCAGTCAACGAAGGCATGCGCTTGATCAACACCTGGGCAGGGGAAAGGACGCAGGCGAGGCTGGGCTGAGGGGGAAGAGTTGCGATACCTTCTCAGTGGGCCTGGTACAAGCCGACGGAGTTCTGAGATGGGAGGAGCTCCCCCGTCTCCCAACTGTCCCAAGTTAAGGTAGGAAGGCTGGGCCTTTATACCCCCGACTCACTGACCATTGGCTACAGGCGGCCCCAAGTGTCTCAATCGAAAAAAGAAAATGGAATGTTTTGTTTTGTTTTTTTTTCCTTTACTTACTTGAGAGAAGAAGGGAGAAGGAGAGAGAGACAGAAGCATCGATGAGAAAGAACACTGACTGGCCGCCACCTACATGCCCCCCACTGGGGATCGGGCCCACAACCAGGGCATGTGCCCTGACCGGGAATCCGGGAATCGAACCGGCGACCTCTTGGTGCAGGGGTCGACGCTCAACCACTGAGCCACACCGGCCAGACGAAAATGGAATGTCTTCTATGCTATTTGCAACATTTAAACTTAGATGGAAAATCTGAGAGCAACACTCATATTTTAGAATTTAAAATTACTCATACCTATAGTTTCCACCGATTTGGGATGGATTTGAAATAAGTCAACAGTATACCAACACTAGGGCTGGCACTTGTAAAACTGTTTTCCTGGGAATAAATAAGCAAACATACATTACCTACGACTGTCTACATCGTCGCAGAATGCTTAGCCATCAATCACTATGGACCACTTTAATTTCACTGCTTACCTACATAATCAAAATATAAAGCTCCCTTTTCTGTAACACAGTTCTTCTCAATCACTACATAAATAGCCATATTTCTTTACAAGAAAGTAAATGTCCAGTTCAGCTATGATTTACAGATCGTGTAAATTATTAGCCATACGGTTGTTATATGCCATTCTGCTTGCAAAATATGTTTTAACTAGATGTATCTATGACTACAAAAAGAGAGAGAAAAATGGGCACAAATAACCGATGTCAGAAATGAACAGAGAGACATAACCACAGAAAATGTACATATGAAAACAAAACGTACCACATCTCTGCTGGGTCGACTGTAAAACTTCTGAGAGACATTAAACAAATCTTCAATAAATGCACCATTATACCATGCTCATGGACAGTGTCAAATCTCTCCCAACTGCACTCAGTATCCCAGTGGGTTTTGTTGTTGTTGCTGAACTTGATAAGTTGTTTCTAAAATGTATATAGGGATACAAAGGGCCAAGAACAGCCAAAACAATCTTGAAAAAGAACAAGAAATTGCTGTCAGATATCAAAATTTAATATAAAGGGACAATAATGAAGACAGTGTAGAATCAGTGAAGAGACAGGTGGATCAAAGACCTAAATGTGTAATGCAAATTTATAAACTTGTAGTATTTCGATATGTAAATAACTTCATGACCCTGTGACAGGGATTGGCATCTTATTAAAGTCACAACACAATCTGTAAGGAACGTTTTGAAGTATTGGGGTACATTAAAATGAGTAGTTTCTGTTCATCACAGACACCATTAGAAGGAGAGAATTCTACACTTTAATATGATGGTTTCACATTGTACCAATTAACGAGCATGCGTTTAAGCTGAGAGTAAACAGGTTTAAGCATAAAGTAAATAGATCTCCTTTCAAAACGGGATTTGGGCTTTTAAGAAAAACCCCATATATGTAAGCAATGTTATTCTAAGAAATATAATTAGGACCATTTGTCCTAGATTTTTACAAT